GAAAGAGTGAACACATTGCAACTAATACATTTAAAGCACCCCCTCCCCCTATTTAATTTATAATTCAACTGCTCACTCTGCTTTCAGGGATGTGCCTTTTACTGTTCCCGTGAAAAGTACTCAAATGGGCAGGGGGATTCATATTCTGTATTTGCTCAGCAAAGACTTTGCTATATTCTTGCTATGGTCCACCTATAGTGAGCATCCCCCTCACGGTACCTACATGCAACTAGACTTCACATGGGCCATCTCCACAAAGCAACTGAGCATGCCGTCTTCAAAAGCCAACAGGACTTTTCTGCAATTGCTGCTCTGGGCATCTGTAGTGCCAGGCACTGGAACTTCACATTTCAGTGATGCCCAGATAATAAGGCAAAGGAGAGGGGGACAGTGGCCAGAATGGTGGTGAGAAGGCATAGAACGAAGAGATTGCAAAAGCTAGATAATTGGTGAAATGGAGAGGGGGGAAATAGTGGCTAGAAGAGTCAAGGGAATTGATGATCTGGTGGGAGGACAGCTGAGGGGGAGGGGGATGGACCAATAGAACTATGTATTCCAAATGAATGGTCAGAAGAAAGGATGCTGATAGCCATGCATATAAATCAGGAGCTAGGAACTGTAGAATATTTATAATGGAATAAAAGAAATACAAGGAAAAAAATGTATGGCCAACAGGTTGTCCTTCCTGCCTGGTGCAGTGGGCTGGACCCGATTTCATAGATTTCATAGACATCAGGGCTGGAAGGGACCTCGGAAGATCATCGAGTCCAGCCCCCCGCCCAAAGGGCAGGAAGTCAGCTGGGGTCATAGGATCCCAGCAAGATAAGCATCCAGTTTCATCTTGAAGGTGTTCAATGTAGGTGCTTGAACCACCTCCGGTGGCAGGCTGTTCCAGACCTTGGGGGCTCAGACAGTAAAGAAATTCTTCCTTATGTCCAGCCTGAAATGATCTTGAAGTAGTTTGTGACCATTCGACCTCGTCATCCCTTGGGGCGCTCTGGTGAACAAACATTCCCCCAGATGCTGGTGGTCACCCCTGATAAACTTGTAGGTGGCCATCAGATCACCCCTGAGCCTGCGCTTTTTCAGGCTAAAGAGCCCCAGGGTTCTCAGCCTGTCGTCGTAGGGTCTGCTTCCCTGACCGCTGATCATGCGCGTGGCCCTTCTCTGGACTCT